CAATTGGAGAGTTACTCTCAATCAATGCTGGGATATTGTGTTCTCCAGGGAATATTTCAAGGATCTACTATCTAGTGTATGCTATTCTGGCAACTGTGTGGAATACGACAACCTTTATCTTCAATGTTTTACTTCTACGTTTAATAAGGGATAAAACATAAATGAACATACCTAAGGCTTGTTTCTGAAAGATGTTCTAACATTCAATTCTTTTAATTTGGTTTCTGTGCTAAAAGATCTCTTGAGAATTATCCGTCCTGTGTGATCCCTCTTGCTGCTAGTTGTCCTTTCAGCATCCTAGTCTTGTCTCCTGCTAATTGGATGCTTACGAAGCATTAATGGTAAAACAATCATGCAGGACGCGAAACATGGAACGACTACAGGAGTATCTGCTCATGATAGAGCAACGACAGTAATGGCACTTGCGTCCGGAGATTCAAAGCCTGAGGATTTCAATCGACCGGGGCATATTTTTCCTTTGAAATACAGGGAAGGCGGGGTTTTAAAACGAGCTGGACATACTGAGGCTTCAGTGGATCTTGCCGTGTTAGCTGGCTTAGACCCTGTTGGAGTAATATGTGAGGTTGTGGATGATGATGGTTCCATGGCTAGATTGCCTATGCTTCGTAAATTTGCAAAAGAACATAACTTGAAGATCATATCAGTTGCTGACTTAATCAGGTGGTTAACAGATCTGCTTCTGATTTCTTTAAGAGTTGGTGTTATGTTACCAATTTCAAATAAAAAAAATTCTTTAAGAGTTGGTGTTGCTGAATAAATTCTTTCGTGGTTTGTTGTTTTGTCATGCTTTAACGTGGTGATAAATACTTCTGATGGTTCTAAAGTGAGGCTTCCTTTTCTGAGTGGATCTATTTTTCTATTTAGCTTCTTCTTTCTTTTATCTACTGCATACTAGGCAGTTAATTTGGGAGATTGTGCAAAAGTCCATGCCCCTTATTCCTCAAGAGAAACCAAGAGATGTGTTAAAGTTCTGATTTGATAGTCAGGAGCACCCTGTAATAGCTTCCTAATCCTGATTTCCACATTCTATTTTTGGGTAAACCACTTCTTAGTATACTTCAGACAGTTCCCATTTAAGTCAATGATTTCCTTATATTGTGTAAGCTTACTTATCCCCAAAAACTGTAAGCTTAGCTCTCACTTCCAAGGATGAAGATAGACTTAGGCTTTTCTATCATTGGGCATCATGGAATCAATGGTGATATAAATCTTTTCAGTTACTGAACAACCAGACTACAAGAGATTGGAGATGCAGCAAGTCTTTGAAGAAACTTTATCTTCATGGGTTGGTGCATTGCATCTGTTCTTTTACTAAATTGTGTATGCCAACACATCCATGTGCTAACATACTATGTCTAGTTTAGTTTTACTTGATCAAAAGAAGTCTACTTTTGATTTTTTTTTTTTTTCATTTCGTTTGCATTTAGCTGCATTAATATCTTAAAACTCAGTAGATGTGACTTCTCTTATCCTTGCTTTGTCCAGCAAATGCTTGAAAGCAAGCATTCATTTATCGTTTCTGCTACATTAGCTTTTGGTACATCATCTGACAAGAACTTCCTTTTACAGATATAGGAGGAAAACAGATCAGCTGGTAGAGCATGCTTCTGCTGCAAGAATACCTACTATGTGGGGCCCGTTTACTGCCCATTGCTTCAAGTCAATAATAGATGGAATTGAGCACATTGCTATGGTTAAGGTAAGCAACTTTCAGGATATTCTCGCATATATCTTCGGCAGTGGTTGGACTACTCAAAGTTGTACAAACATATCAGTTTGTTGTGTTTCACTAATCACAAAACTAGGTATCTTATCTATTTGAAACATGAAGTTCCATCTTCTTCTTAAGTGGAAAGGGGACGAGCACGTTTACTATTGTATCTTACATCACTTTACAGTTTGACATACAGTTTGACATCCTTGTAGAATTTTATTAATGCAAACTATGGGCGTATTTGGCTTGACAAGTTCATTTTGTGTTTGGTACTGATTTGGGATGAATTTGTTGAATGACCAGGGGGATATAGGAGATGGACAAGATATTCTTGTCCGGGTACACTCGGAATGCCTCACAGGAGATATATTTGGTTCAGCCAGATGTGACTGTGGATCCCAGCTGGCAACTGCAATGCAACAAATTGAGGCTGCTGGCAGGGGGGTTTTGGTTTACCTCCGTGGTCATGAGGGTAGAGGCATTGGTTTGGGTCACAAACTTCGTGCTTATAATTTACAAGATGCTGGACGTGATACTGTTGAAGCGAATGAAGATCTTGGTTTGCCCATTGATTCAAGAGAGTACGGGGTTGGTGCACAGGTACTCACTTCCTATATAAGCTCTCTCTGGATTGTGCTGTAACTTTTGTGTAAATCTTGTTGTCTTAAAGCAAAACTAATTTTTTTTTTCTTCTGCAGATCTTAAGGGATCTTGGTGTTCGAACTATGAAGCTGATGACGAACAATCCTGCAAAATACAGCGGGCTCAAGGGTTATGGTTTGGCAATTTCTGGTAGGGTCCCCGTTGTGACTCCCATTACAAAAGATAACAAGAGATATTTGGAAACAAAACGTGCTAAAATGGGCCATGTATACGGTTTGAACCTTATTCGCCCGGCAACCAGCACCAGCACCAGCACCAGCACAACAAATGGTAAACCAAACTCTGAGAATACTTCTACTATAAGATGATCTGGTTGGCGAACAACTTGCTTGAGGAATAGCTATCACCTTTAACACATAATTCAAATATTAATCATTATTTATTGCTCATCGTACCTAAATATTGATTTCTTGGTGCTGATATTTTACGGACAATTCTTTTTGTCCTTGGATGTATATTAGCATTTATGAGAAGTAATGCAATTCACCTTGTCAAGTGTTAGTGAAAGCCAACATAGACTTAGCTGATAACAAAGAGTATGTATGTACACATATCATCACGATTTAAGTTTATATGACACATGTTTTTCATTGATTCAAACAAAGAGTACTAGTGATGAATGAAGAAAACAAGAAGCAACAAGCAAAGCAAAACAAGGAATATTACATAATAATGTACTAGTTCCAAATGGAAGGAATGCTACTTTGGAAGTGGAGAACAAAATGTCAAGATATCATCATCTCTCTCGAATTCAGCCATGTCATTCTCCTTCAAACTAACCCATGCTTCTACTCCATCACTATCCTTTGTGTCCATCAGCATAATGACTTCAATAGCATCAAGGCTAACGGAGCTCACCCAGAATGGCTTTCCCCAACCAAAGTCAGCTTCATACCAAGAGAATCCACACCAACTAGTGCACGAATAAATGTCCATCTCGTCACCTTGGCAAAGCATGTCTACAGCTTTTATCTGATTGTTAACAACTAAACAGAAAACATCATCAACTCTTGCCGCCTTACCAATGCTTACGCATGTGTCCCGTATTGTATTTCCTACCAACTCATGATTCAACTCCTGGCTTGCCTCTAGATCAGCAATTCCAAACATGGTACCATTACCTAGAGCATGTTCTAAAGATGGTAACTTTGATTTTCCTCTCAAATTAATAGGAAATAAAAAAGATGATCCCCTTGAATGTCCATTTTTGGCGGTGGAAATGCCTGCAAGAACCTTCCATATTAACGACATAACGACCATCACTCTAGTAGGCTTAATGGCACTTGAATATTTGATTGTATTTTTGAGCTTAGTTATCGCCAAAGCATCAAACACAAACCTCCTCGTGAAACTCTTAGTGCCCCTGTTGGATGGTGGTGAATATTGAATTCCTGATAGCACTCTTGTGGGAAATAGCGATGACAAGTGACCAAAACTTGGGAGACAATCTTTTGTCGTTCCTGTAAGGCAAGTGTGCGCCCATTCCTTGACAAATGTTGCTAAAGTGAAAGCATCAGCTACGATGTGTGAAATTTGTATGCCCATGACTAGTCCTCCACAATTGAATAGGTTCACTTGGACACCAAGTAATGGACTTGATGGTAGATCTGAGTATGGTGGAACAGCACTAGGCCATGGAAGAAAATCATTCAAAAGCTCAGTGTTGGGTCCTTGGTGAAGAAATTCAGCAAGATCCGCGCTGACTTTGGTTTGGACATACTCAACACCTTCATCATTGCACTGAATTGAGAATTCATCTTCATTAAATCTCCCTGCTATAGGGTAAAAGTTGGTTAATATCTGGGCCAAAGATTTTTGCAACTTATCACATCTTTCAGTAGTCGTACTGCAGCTTGGCAAGTAGTGGAAGAGTACTGGTACATATGCACGAGGAACCATCTGATCGAAAAATGAAAGCTTGAGGGTCTGAAGGTGATTCGGGGTAGGAATTGAGGGCTTCAACATTTTCCTGCTATGGATTTGGATCTCTAACTTGGCCATTAATTAGGATTAGCAACAAAAGAGAGTTTGAATACACGAGAGTGTTTCTTAATAGGAAATAAAATAGTACTGCATCTGCTAATGAAAAGGATCTGAGCAATTAAAAATGTGTGGATGCCATTTTTGGACCAGACTATTAACTGATGACATTTTGTTTAATTTGTATATATTCTGCTTGTTAGGCTTTTGTTTATTAAATAAAAGCAAATGGTTCTATCAATAAGCCGGCCCAGAAGTGACCGGCCGAGCTCAAACAAAAATACAGGCATTGATCCAATCTAGAAGCCTCTGGAAAAAATAAAATCCAAACTGATTCTCTCAATTTTATTTGCATACGAATTTATATAATACAATTAAAGAGAAGCACTAGAAATTTGGACTAATATATATCCCTAAAATGGATCAAGCTGATTGGTTCAACAAACAAAGATATAAGTTAATAACTCTACCATCAGCTAGGATTTGTATCCCATGACTCAAGAAGATACATATATAAAGATAGTTTGAAAAATAATGAATATCTACCAACTCGGCAAACAACATAATTTGTTTGTGATGAAGGGAGAAAACAAGAAATCGAAAGGAATGGATCCAATGCTAGCTATTTTGAAAGTGGAGAACAAAATGTCAAAATATCAGCATCTCTCTCGAATTCAGCCATGACATTCTCCTTCAAACTAACCCATGCTTCTATTCCATCACCATTTTTGGTATCCATCAGACAGATTAATTCAAGAGCGTCAAAGCTAACGGAGCTCACCCAGAATGGCTTTCCCCAACCAAAGTTAACTTTATACCAAGGGAATCCACACCAACTACTGCACACATAAATGTCCATCTTCTCTCCTTGGAGAAATTTCTCATTAACTTTTGTGTGATTGTTAACAACTAAAGAGGAAATATCATCAACGCTTGCCACCTTACCAATGCCTGCACATGTGTCCCGTATTGTATTTCCTACCAACTCATGATTCAACTCCTTTTCTGCCTCTAGATTAGCAATTCCAGACATCGTACAGTTCCCTAGAGCATCATCCTCTAAACATGGTAAATTTGATTTTCCCCTCATATTAATAAGAACTACAAAAGACGAGTCCCTTGAATGTCCATGTTTGGTGGTGGAAATTCCCACAAGAACCTTCCATATTAACGACATAACGACTACCACTCTAGTTGGCCTGATGGCACTTGAATCTTCGATTGTATTTTTTAGCTTAGTTATTGCCAAGGCATCAAACTCAAACCTCCTCGTGATAGTCTTAGGGCCTCTGTTGGAGGGTGGTAAAAATTGAGTTCCTGATCGCAGTGTTGTTGGAAAGAGCGATGACAAGTGACCGAAGCTTGGGAGACAATCTTTTGCTGTTCCTGTAAGGCTAGTGTTCGCCCATTCATTGAGAAATGTTGCTAAAGTGAAAGCATCAGCTACGATGTGTGAAATTTGTATCGCTATGACTAGTCCTCCACAATTGAATAGGTTCACTTGGACAGCAAGTAATGGAGTTGATGGCAGATCTGAGTATGGAGGAACAGTACTAGGCCATGGAAGAAAATCATTCAAAAGCTCCGTGTTGGGTCCTTGGTGGAGAAACTCAGCAAGATTCGCGTTAGCTTTGGTTTCAACATACTCAATGCCTTTATCATTGCAGTGAATTGAGAATTCACCTTCAATAAGTCTCCCTGCTAAAGGGAAAAACTTGGTTAATGTCTGGGCCAAAGATTTTTGGAGCTTATCACATCTTTCAGTAATTGTTCCTTCAGTATTGCTTGGCAAGTAGTGGAAGAGTACTGGCACATATGCATGAGGAGCCAGCTCATCGAACAATGAAAGCTTGAGGGTCCGAAGATGATTCGGGGTTGGAGTTGAGGGCTTCAACATTATCCTTGTCTGAATTTCAATCTCTAACTTGGCCATTAAATAGGATTAGCAACAAAAGAGAAAGTATTTCTTAGTATATAGTGTCTGGTAATGAAAAGGAGCAAAAATGTCTAGACTGTTCCTTTTTGTTTTGGCTGTATTTATAAAGCCCATTTCAAAACTACAGACAGTCCATGTGTTATGTCAACCTGTTTCTGCATATTTGGTTATACTCGTTCTCGTTGGCAGGGCATCAGTTTATAAGAAATATTCGCTGAAAACTCAATAACAAAGTAGTCTCTTGATCCCATGCGATCCATGTGCTCATTTGAGTTTTATATCAATATTATTTCAGATCAATCATGGGTGGACGCACATGTTTAAATATACTAATACATAAACGATATGTATAAATCATATATTATCTGTCAACAGATCAGCTAACTCATTTCCTTACAAGAGGTGACAACTTGATCCTTCCACATTCACAGTTCAATTGAAATTAGATATTCCTTTTCATCATATAAATAAACAGGGAAAAACCAAAACACTACGCTCTTATGAAAATTTTACACTTCAAAATGAATCATTTTATCCACATGGAGGAATCAAATGCTACTTTTGAAGTGTATGACAATATTTCAGAATCTCTCTCGAATTCAGTCATTTCATTCTCCTTCAAACTAGCCCATGCTTCTATTCCGTCACCATCTTTTGTGTCATTTAGGATAAACACTTCAAAAGGCTTGCTAACACTGCTCACCCAAAATGGCTTTCCCCAACCAAAGTCTGCTTCGTACCAGGGGAATCTGCACTAACTAGTGCTCGGATAAATGTTTATCGGTCTCCTAGACCAAGTTAGTTTATAACTTCTGTGCCACAGGTAGCAAACATAGATGTAATATCATCAATGTTTGCCTTACCAATGCTTGCAGATGTGTCCCTTGTTTTACTTCCTACCACGTTAACAAAGCCATTTAACTCATTTCTCAACTGGTTTGCCTCAACAGAAGCAACAACCGTCACGTATAAATTCCCTAGAGCATGCTCTAAAGAAGGCAAATTTAATTTTCCCCTCAAATTAATCGGAAATAGTAAAGACGACGACCCCCTTGAATGTCCATGTCTGGTTATTGAATTGCCTACTATAACCTTCCATAGGAATGAAAGAACGACCACCAGTCGAGTAGGTCTGGTGAATGTGGCACTCAAATTGATTCTGTCTTTGAGATTTGCTATTGCGAAAGCATTAAACACAAACCTCTTGGTGACAATCTTAGGGCCTACGTTGGAAGGCGGTGAAACTTGAGGTCCTGATAGCACTGTTGGTGTGACCATTTTAATATTATACAAATTGTTACATATTCACATTGCCACTGCCACACTAAGTCTTTGCTGAAATGTATGACATTTGTGCCTAATTACTCATGGTCAATTAATGACCAGAGGCATAAGGCAAATTGCTTTCTGAACGTTGGCAATGGAACGTTGGCATCTGCACGTTAGTGCATTTGTTGCCCTCAACTTTATTTCATTCTTTACTCCTCCATTATTCTTGTAACCTATGTAACTCCTAAGACCATTATCTTCACTATTTACTACACCATTATCTTCCTATTCATTGCTAGGAAGACTTCTTCTAGTATAAATAGTGGTGGTCTTCATTTGGTTTGTCACACACAACACACAAGAAAATATAGAGTGCATAAGGTTTGTCAAAAAGAGAGTTCTTATTAGTTGAAGGGAGGTGTTTCTT